CTCGGACATTTTGTCCGACCACTTCCCTATTCAACAGGCCATGAGAACATTTTTCTACAGCAGGTCAAGATCATTGTAATCTGGTCTCAACCTTCACAGGTACCCATTGTACTCCGGGGTGGAGGGAAGCATTTGTAGTAAAGTGTCTTGCCCAAGAACACTAGCACCATGTTCCCCACCAGGGTTTGGACCCACGTACATGTATGTACCACATACATAAGTACATGTACATGTACATGTACCGTGGCAAACACGAGTCCAACAAGTAACAATTGGACCAAACCGTTCCACACAGTGTTGCAAATAAGAAATTTTCGCTTACAGGGTAAGTGCAGACTTTCTAAGCAGACATGTAAGCAAGAATTCCATGATTAGCACAGCCGTAAATGACTTAATTAGTCAGAACAGAAGTGAATATTATCTTCATTTGTGCTGGTTCCTTAAAGGGAATGTGCATCATTGGCTTTTGCTGTAATTTTTTAGAAATGAAGTATTTGGGGAGTTAGTATAATAGATCAAATATTGTTACACTGACATGTTTGAAGTTTTGTGTTCGAAAATGCTGGAAAAACCAAGAAAAACAAAAATATTCAAGTAGTCTGGCTCCCTGACTCCACTAAAGATGAAATGGATCAAAAATACCAGAAAATTGTAAGGTAAGGGAACCAGTCTAGCTGGCCTGCAACCCGTTCATGAACATGGAACCAATAGCTAGCAAAACAAAATTTAGACTAAAAAAAATTGGTAAATTTGGAGCAGTAATTGAAAAATAGTTAGGTTTTTCCAACGGTGGTCGGCCGACCATGAGCGTTGGAAATGTATACAAATATACCATTTTCTTGAAAAAGGCTTCACACCAGGTGCCATAATTTTACAGGATGCTTAAGCATGTCATTTACCAACATCCTAGTAAGGTATTTCGTAACAACTTGGTAGTTTTATTTTTCGATGTTTGCAAATGTTGTATTTTCCCTTTAATTTTTTTCAAATTCTAGTGCAAACTTTTCCAGCCTTTGAAGAGAATACATGAAGGCGTACATATGTACAACCCAAATGCCAAAGGGTTCACACAAACATAACCTCAACATGGTCAGGGATGTCTATTTCATTCATCTCAGAGATGCCACAGCACGACCTTCCCTTGCCCTCCCCCCCTCCCCCCCCCAACTAATCTGGGTCTCGTTGAAATGTCAGCGTCTAAATTTAGCCTCCCGTCACGGCTTGATTCTCGTTAGGCACTGCAGGTGAGATCGGATGAATAGCCAATCGGCACTAGAACAATTAAAACCATGCATGTCTACTAGTCTGGTGCTGGCCTCGTCGGCTAGTCACCAGGGTACATTGTACATGTGTTTCAGTACACATGAAGTTTTACGAGACCTAGGGAAGTTGTGAATATCCATCTTTTTTTGTCATGACTTAAAACCCTAACCCTGCTGAATTCAACAGGATCCAACCACATGTACATGTATGTCATACTCGATGGAGCCTGTTGGATTGAGCAGTAAACCCCTTGTGTACATTCCTGATGCAAAATGTTGGATTCAGCTGGCAACTGAAAATAAGGCACAGTGGATTGAGCGAGAAACTCCGGTTGGACTCGGTTGGATTTAGCAGGGTAGTCCTAAGGAACTACTAGGGGGTTAGGGTCACAGTTTGATGGGATAAAGAAATGTTTTTGGTTTAGTTCTTGAGCCCCCTGAGCATCTTATTAGAAGCATAGAGGAAGGATATTAGAAGTCAATTTGAATTTACAGTCCTGCAAAGGTTAAAGATATAGTCCATCATTTGTAATTTGTGCATTTTGTTCGTTTGAAGCAACAAAAGTGCTCAAAATCTAATGAAGGATACTGAACAACTAACCTGATGAAGTTTCAGCTCAGCTTCAGCTGTATATTCCGAGAAAAACAGCATTCTAGGATCTCAATTTCAAATCAAAAGTTGCTGAATCATGTTTTGAATCGTGTTGAATTGCAGAGCATTGTATACGCGATGTCGCGCACTGATCCAAATTATAGCAACCGTGTGCGCCTGTGCGTCGTGCCAATGCTTGTGCGCGCTGCGCCGAATAACAAAACGAACTACATGTACTAATTTAAATTTTCCTATGGTGCGTCTAAAGACGCACCGTTGGAAAGGCCTTCTTTCGTTGATTACTTCAAAATGATAGCTTGCCAGAAAGATTAATTTCACAGGGAGTTTAGTCCACTTACTATCTTTCAACCAAGTACATGTATGTTTTTCAAAAATAATACGGCAGTTACTTTTTCGGATGGCTGCAAATGATGGACTATACATGTAGCTTTAATGAATGAGACATCTTATCAAAGTCACAGGAAGCCTGGATAACAGTTGAGAATTTTAGATGAAAATTGTCTTGTTATCTAGTGTTGCCTGAATGCTATTGTCAACATTTTGTAATGTGAGTCGATTATGTGACATTTTACAATGCTGTTGTGCACCACTCTATAATAAACTCCTAGCAAATACTGTGCGTCATGCCCCACAGCAGTGCCATTTCCCTCAGACACTGACGGCGCTTTTACGCTCTCTCCGTGTACACAGCAATCACCTTAAAAGACAGCAAGGGACAATATGATGCCGCGCAGTCGCCGGTCCGGCAGGAACGAGTTCCTGTCATAAACGCAAGTTGGCGTCTTAAATTTCCTCGTCGCCTCGCACACTCTCTGCGTATCCTCGGCCCGTGCGTCAGCAGCCTTTTGAAACGGAAGCCGGGGAGGTAACTGGACAAAAGGAGAGACCGCGTCCAGCCTCAATTTAGCCGAAGTTTATTTTGGCTCCCATTGTCCAGGGTTCTTAAATTTCCCAGAGTGTGGAATGGAATGTTTTTTAGCTATTTTTGGCTTCAAAGTATTGAGTGGAGTAGAGGGGGGGGGGGGGGGGGTTGTGCATGCTATCAATTGTTTTCTTCAATGATTGCATTCACGAAATAAGTTACCTGTTCGCGTACTTATTTTATACAAATCTCCATTATTGTTTTTTTGGCTATAAAAAACATTAAAATAAGAGCACAAATGGGACAAATTTGTGTCTGTTTAGTGTTTTGCCAGTTTGTCTGTTTAGTGTTTTTTGGTTTAATATATGTACCATAACTAATTTTTATCTAGAGAATTTCCATTTACATGTACAGGCATGCAACTTGTTCTCATGAATGTCATTACAAATTGAAAAACACTGTACAAAGTCTTGTGCGCTTTGGAATTTCCTGGTTTTATCTAAATTCCAAGTTGCATGCCTGCATTTACCAAGGTAATTCCATATTACCTTTCAAAAATTGGTTGATATAAAAAAAAACACCACGATTTACATACTGTAGGCCTATATTAATAACAGGAAAACAGGCCTGGTGAATTTATCAATATACAATGTGGCTTGAATAATATGAATAATTTTTGAATAATTCACATACACGTTTGAATAATTTTTAGTCATAAAACCTCTTGTCGCATACTTGTCCATACATCAATGATGCCAATTTATATACGTAGAAAGTTCCTAAGATTCTAACATTTACATTAGGGTTTGTAAATAGAAACTGAATTATATTGTTTCTGCATATAAATGTTAAAAATCACCCTTTTTTCTGTGTGGAAAAAAGGAACCGGTGGAAGTGGTTATTAACCAAATAAACAAAAAAAAAGTGAAGAAATAGTGTGACAGGATATCCCTCCTAGTTGAAAAGATCCGTCCTACGATCCTTCCAGGAAAGCTGGCTTAGCTTTTTTGTTCTTTTGTCCCCCTGTGCTGACAATTGTTTGGCACACTCCCAAAACCACGATTTCCTTTAGGAAAGAAAGCCAAGGTTACAATGTGAGGGATTTTCCGATTGGTTTGAAACCAAGATTGGCCCGTGTTGGTTTCATTCATTCATACATGTAGTTTGTCTGATTGCAACAAAGTCTGTGCTTTATTTACTCAGCACTATTACGTTGTTGGATCACACAAAGTGGGGACCCCTGCTCAAGTAATTCCATTTCAACAATAAAAATGCAAAACACTTTGGCCTTGACATCAGAAACTGGTACCAATTGTGCAACTTGTGATCAAATGCATACACATGGACATTACATGGCATTTGAACCATAGAGTAGGGCTGTCCAGCATGTGTAACGAATAATAAAATATTCGATCTTCGACCCGATGTTTGAATAGCTTTTTGCTGGTTTGAATAATGAAAATAATATTATAATAAATAAACTGCACACGCACGCATGACTGTTGCGTTATTATAATCGTAATGTTGGGCGCTTTATTGCCAGATGCCACTTTGTTTTGTCGGCGATAACTTTTTGTGTCGACTTCAATTCATTGTTCCTATCCTTTAAGCATGTTAAAACCCTTGGCAGCTACCGGTACCTGTACATGTATAAAATACTGCAAAAAAATCCAGCGGCCCATAATATCGCTCGCCTCAATTTTTTTACTGACATGCTTTGCGTGCAACTTTAGACCGCCGGGCACGGCAAGCAGTTGCAGCTGGGGCGTGTAGAAATTGATTGGCGAGTTTCGAATAGTCGAATGCTCAAGTATTAAAAAATGAACAGCCCTACCCATTGAGATGAGCTTTCATTTCCAGACTGGTTCCCTACCCCTCTTAGCAGAGTTCTTAATGTAGTGGGGAACTTGGAACCAGCCTACTTAGGTCTCATTGGTAAACAAATGTTTGCCTTCCCTGGTACCCGCGCACCGATTACTAAATGTTCCCAATCGGCTTAATAGCAAAATGTAAGGCGGTGTCTGCATTACTTGGCTAAGCCTGGAAATAACGCACATGTCTATGGGAAGTGGCTGTAACGGCTTCCATAGGCGCATGTACAAGAAAATGTAGCCATAGCCACAAAAATTCAGGCACAGCATATATCAGCCTTACCCTCATTACTAGATTGCATAGTGCCCTCGTTAAACCATGCACAAGAGTCCTAAATGCAATTTTAAACTAACTTTTTTTTTCTCCCCGCTTTATTTTGCATTTTATCTAGTGGCCGCACACATGCATACAGCCTCATGGTAATGGGGAAATGGAGTGGTTTCCTGTAGTAATTCACAAGTGAGAGACTACCAAAGGAAGACAAAGAAACGACACAAAAAAAATCCCCACTGTTTGGAACCATTTGCCGCCCTTGTAATTCTTCCGACTTTCCTGGGTCAAAGGTCAAGAGCTTCCAGTACCACCATGTCCCAACCCAGAGGTAAGGAGATATTTTTTATCATCAACGACCAAAGTTAATTGTGGCAAGTAATTTTTGTTTTAGCAAATTTCACCTTTTTGAGCTGAACTGTATTTTTTTTTTCTCTCAAAAAAAATGAGCAAAAAACCTGTATAGGATAAAACAAAAACAGAAGTTAAACACTTCATTTCGCGTATTGAGGCAGAGGAATCAACAAAATGTTCCCCATTTGTAAAAAGCACCTGTTTTGCCCCAAGCATCTGCTCGGACCAAGATTTTGGCATTAAGGTGTCATCGTTGCAGAAATCTCTCTCAAATTCTAACCTTTTTTTTATTAATCCGCACCTCGAAGGGCCAAATTTGCAAATCAGCTCGTAATGCGAACAGTAGGCGTAGATCAAGCCAAAAGTAAAGGCTTGTGAGTTTTCTTTAGGTCGGTTGACCTTTTTTCAAAAGATGCTGGTACTACATGTCGTAACATCCTTGCCCTTTTGCCTCGCAGTTTTCGTACCCACATTTTGTCTTCAAAAGAGGAAGGGCGGAAGGGAAATTGATCATCCAGATTGTTTTCTGTTTTCCAGTGCTTGACTTGTGAGTGAAGAAAGAAATTAACAAAGATCAAGAAGTATCCCTTGGAGAAATTGTGATTGCTTGCAAGGGTCTGGCGCCCTCTGTTGTTTAAAAGAAGCAGGTCCTTGTAGACCTTTTATGCCCACAATTATTTGAAGATTTGAAAATTGTCCCATTGTTTTATCAGTGCAGTAAATAAAACCTGTTTATTACTCATATTCCTCTGTATGGGTACGCATTTTACACTTTTTTGATATTTTGCTGTCAGTAAATCACCTTTTCTGGTTTTCTTTTACTTTTCTTCTTTTGGTCGAGAAAAAAATAAAGATAATTTTAAAAAGTGCATTGGTTGGCTACAAGCTTGACAATTTGAAATCCTAGGTACATGTAATAGGAATGAATGACAGTAATTAAGTCTTCATGTGAAAATATTGCCCAGCTCAGTTTATGGCAAACAAATCGTAGAGCTTCCAGCTCCTATCAATAAAATTCAAATCTTTCCGATTCCCGTCTCTCATCCAAATCCATACCAAACTGGCGCTGGCAAAAAAAAAAGACACGTGCGTTTGTTTCACGTGGCTGCTGGCTTCCGTCATAACGAGTTTGACATTAACGCAGAGTGCGTCTGGGGATTGTATTGATGGGGCAGATCATTAGCCTCTCCGGTACGAGTCTAAAAATACGTCAAGAAAGAAGCGAGACCAACAACACAACACTCGTCTTTAAAAAAAATCTGTGTATGATTTATAAATATTGATAGCCCTCGAGCAAAAGTACATGTTTTTAAGCTTTACCAGTAGATTTGAGGTGAAAAGCCACTAAGATGTGTACCTTGAGCTCCCCCCCCCTTTTAGTTACAGTGTACATAGTACAGTAGGTTAGTTTTGCTGAATTAGAGTTCAGAAATATTTAGATAGAAGAAGACGTGGGGAAGGGGGGTGGGTTCAAAATACATGTAAAGGAGAATATTTTTGGACTTTGTTACTGCCAGCAATTTTTGACTAATTTGCTTGAGAAGAGAAAACCCATATTTGCCTGTGCAAAACAACCTGTGCTTAAAGGGAAGATACAACATTTGCAAACATCAAAAAACAAAATGATCACATTATCACGAAATATTTTACTCGATTGTTAGGGAATGACAGTCTAAAGCATCCTGTAAAATTGTGGCTCCTGGTGGGCTGTCATTTTCAAGAAAAACTGCATTTTCCCAACGTTGGTCGGCCGACCAGCGTTGGAAAAAAACTGGCTTTTTTTCAAAAACTGCTCCAAATTTTTCATATTTAGTTATTCCATATTTTCTTTGCAATTGATTACACACCTGTGAAGGGGTATAAGCCATGCTAGACTGATTCTCTGACCTTACAATTCCCAAAGTCTATAAATTGCTCCATTTTATCTTAAGTGTGGTCAGGGAGCCAGACTACAAGAACATGATTGGTTTTCTTGGTTTTCCAGAATCTACAAGCTTGCCCAAAACGTGAAATAAGTCAGTTTAACAATATTTGCTATAACATACTAATCCTCCAAATCCGTTTATTTCTTAAAATTGCAGCAAAAACAAATGTTGTACATTCCCTTTAAATAAGCCCAAACTGGTACATTTACACTATGCGGTACATGTACCGGTAGATCCATTTATAAACATGTTGTTGTGGTTTTTCAAAATTTGTTTTTGTGCATCTAGTACATGTATGATAGCATCATATGCTGGGCTTGTCCCCGAGAACAAGTACCCCCTGAACACTTACAAAGAGAGTAACTCGGGAACTCTGGAACACATTTCTGTCATTTTCCTGGCCAGGCGCTCGCACAGAGATGCTGTGGGTTTGTGTGCATTCAGACGAAAGTTGGTTGTGTGTACTTCGAGTTTAATACGTCTGTGAACCAGTGAACGGTCGCGATGTGTCCCGCATGTACACTTACAGCTCGCTCTCTCTCTCTCGAGCGATTGCAAAACGTCAACTACGATTAACCCTTACCCTACTTGACCCTCCAATGCATGCCAATTGTGCCTCAAGAAAATCTCCTATGTTTTTTGCATGGCCCTCCAATATCTGCCATGTCATTTCAAGGGTAACTGGACAGGCACTCCAATACATGCCACAGAGAACAATGAGAGTCCTCTGATAACAAAGTGAGTGCCCCCAGCTGGTCAGTATCAGGCACCCTCCAGGGCCTCCAACTCCTGCCAATTGGAGCCTTCACTGTTAAGACTTGTTATCTGCCAAATAACTGCAGCTGGAGGGCATTGGCATAACCAACTGACATGCAGTAAACTACCCTCAGAGAGTAAGGGTTAATGCACCGAGTCCAGAGTGTTCACTTAAGTACTGTTCTTTTTTTGTGATGTGTATTGCATCTGCCTTCAGTGCACACACTCTCGTTTTACTATACTCCCTAGGACAATGCCTTGTGTTTCCCTTTGTCCCTGTAATATAACACTCTCCCATAGACTAAGCACATGAACCTACTACGGAGGACCGTTTTGAACAAAAGACCCAACTCCCGAGGACTGAAAGGATCTGTTGTTCTCCCTTTGTGTGTCTGTCCTTGGGGGCTATGTAGAACACGTACATGTTCATAATCACGGAGGTTAATACACACAAACAAACCTTGTGTACACTTCTATTAACAGTTTCCAATCAAAGATGACTCACGACCGTTGTTAGAGTTAATCCTATCATATGTCTATGGAAAGCACCCTACCGTATTCTACTAAATTATGGGTGAATAAACTTTTCCAATGTACATAAAGTTTGCAGGAGGAAGCAAATCTGATGAAACGTTTCCGGCATCTGAGCTGGAAGGAATTAGATTACAGACATAATTAATTTTTTCTGCATTTACGGAAAACATTGCTGAATAAATAGAAGAATAAATTTACTGTTTCAGGTATACATGTACAATAGTCTAAACAGGTTATGACACATGCCTCTATACAAATACTTGTATGGTAGTTTGTGTACAGTCCAATGTTCATCAAACGTACATTTTTAAGCGATCCTACTTTTTGTTATCTTTCCGAATCTTTATTCAGTGCCCAAAATAGTTTCTGATACCGTATCTTTCAAGCCCTACACCCAAAGCCATAAAGGAGTGCTACTCATTCAGAAATAGCTTTGAATAAACAACAAATTTGGTAACTTTTTTCTTTTGCCAACAAATGCCTTTACAAACCGCATACTATTAAAGAAAAATTACCCTGCATTTTCCCGTTTGGAAATCCCCAACTAACCCCCCCCCCCAAAAAAAATACCCTGTCGCTTTGCTATTTTTGATTCTGATCAACCTAAAAGTGGACATCCTAGGACTTTTCCTGTGTGGCATACCTTGTACCTTGTTCGGTCACACTTTAACCGCCTAATCCTTATTTGATTAAAAAACACTCCTCATGTGACCTTGCCATGTTGCATGAGTCGTATCGACGCGCCAAACTGCTCAAAAGACTAGGAAGTCTTCACTCAGACCGACATCCCCCATTCCCCCCAAACCCCCCTACACCCCCCCCCCACCTCATTCGCCCTCTCATCCCCCACACCCCACACCCCCCACACTCGTCCTCCAAAACGCACCTCTCCAGACCCAAATATATCCTGTCTTAATTTCAGTTTATTTTGGGGTCTCGCTCCAGATTGTTTTTTTCCCCCCTCTCTACCTCTCTCGTCTGAAAATAGAAGCTGAATTCATCAATTGACTGACAATGTTATTGTCGGACCTGACAAGGTGCAGCTATAAATAGGCAAGCTTTAAGAATCTGAAATGAGTGACATCCTTTTTTATCTAATCAACACAGTGCCATATTGTACTGGGAATAGGCTATGTGGTTTTGTAATAATTTTTCTATATTTGAAGAGAAATTTAATTATCGTCTTTGCATGCGCATATACTTTTTCTCTGGGGGGGGGGGTATTATTTTGCCTGTAAAACTTTTTAATACATGAATCTTGTAAAAGTGACAATGCAGTGACAAAATTACAAAAAAACAAAACACACACCAAAAAAAAACATTTAAAAAAACCCAAAGCGCACACACTCACATAAACACACAAATTCAATTGATTTTGTTCTATTTTTTTAGAAAATGATCGTATCCATATTGAGGTCAGTGCTATCGTCACTGTCGTTAAAAATATCACACCTCAGCGCCAAGTCTCAATTTGTTCGGATAAACAATATTTCCCTCAGCCCTGAGTCACTCAATTAGAGGAGCCTTTTGTATTGTTTCAAAACCCCCAAACAGAGAGAACTTCCCCCTTTACACATAAACAAGACGCAATACTGCGCTGCCCCGGACATCAGCGATTCCCTCGATCCAGGCAGTGACTCGTTCCTTTCTACCTAGCTGCTCCCCCCCCCCCCCCACGCAAACCGCCAAGCCAATGTGCCGAGCCAAGCAGGGAAGCGAGCGAATCACGGCTATTTTTATCCCACCCCGAGGCCAGTAAACG